TATAACCAAGGTTACAGGTGTTTGTGAGTCACCTGATATGTATTCTGGACATTGAACCCTGATCCTCTGTAAGAGTATTGTGTGCTCTTAACCACTGATCTATCTCTCCAGCCCCAGGTCTCCTCATTTTTAATCAATAGAAATTTTTATATCTCATATTTTTCAAAGACCAACAGTTTTCAAGTTGATGTAGGCTGATGGTAACTATAATCTTAAAATTCTTTTGATGTTAATATTCAAATATTAATATATTTAATAATTAATGCCATAATTTGGGTGGACAATAAATAAAATAATTTATTTCCATATATTTTCAGTCATTTTTAGATAATGTGGCACCATGTAATTATTATATTTCCCAAGTTTATTATAAATACAATATTTTGAAGCCTTTCCAACTCAGAAGATAAAGATTCTTTGATAACTTAGAGTTGTGACTTCATTATATCTCTGCGTTATTGTGTATTGTTATTAAATATTAAATTATCAATTAAAGAAAAGTGCTAAATACAAGATAAATCAAGATATAAACCAGGAAAATTTTTAGAAGAATTCATTTGCCAATTAATAATGTACACATGCATCTAAAATGAATAGAAATTAGCTCATTAGCTGTTCCCCAAACACTTGCAGTAGCATAAGCTAAGCAATTCCCCAGCTTCTCAGTTTCAGGTCTTTGATTTTTCCAGAGACATTTATTAAATCTGAAACTAAATGAGGCTTCTAAAGTAACACCGGAGAGGCAAATGGTTTAAATGGCCTACCATGTTAAAATATTTGATAGGATGGGCTCGGTTGCCCCATGCACTTCCATTACAAAGCTGCATATCGTTATCAAGAAGGATGAGCTTGTCAGTCAGGTGTCATGCTTCTGCCCTGTGTGCTGCTCAGATGTTATTTAGGAAAAGCACTTCCATTATTTTCCTTTTCCTCTTTTGGTAATGTGAATGGATGGGAATGTGTCACAAGCATAAACAATATTTAAAAGTATGTAAAGACAGGAAATGTAGTCTTCAAGTATTTCTTTTTCTGACTGACCATACTTCATGCTTTCTTTTTTCATGAAAATCAATGATAAAAATTACTTGTTCCTTCTAAGTTGAACTATTCAGATTTAAACATGGCCTCCATCACAAACTGGTGACTTTTCGCCATGGACTTTTACAGTCACGCTTATCCTGGTGCCTCACATGCTAATGTTATAAATGAAAATCAGATGATTTATTCTAGATGGTTTATTTATAAATGTTCATTCAAAATAATAAACAGAAATACATACCAGTGGTGCCCATGGGGTACTTGCCGTCAGTGGCACAATGATATAAACATTCAGATGACTTTATTTTTTTATTTTCTGCATCTTATTCTTTTGTCCTGGAATGATAGAGCAGTACAGGAGCTAGGATGTGAAGAACCTAACTTTATGTTTTTCTTGCTGAGAATTGACATTTTATTTATTCACTGGAAAGGACTTTTTATATTAAATTGCTAAAATGGGGTTCCTATATTAAGCTAAAGGCCTTACATCTAGTTATATAGGTCTAGAAATTGCATTAAGTGAATTTATTGGGATGCAGGCTGGTCTGATTATGTGTCTAACTTTGGAATGACATGATAAGGGATGGACTTAATTCAAATAAGCAGTTTATCAGAGTATCTCTAATAAGATGATTGAAGAGAGGTTTCCAAAGTTATACTGGTGCATTATTGTGTTCATAGATCAGAGCCACTAGACCCAGGATGCTTTATGTTTGTTTGTTACATTTGTTTTGTTTGGCCTAATTCTACATGCTATTTTTTAAACTTTCTTTACTTCTACTTTCGAAATGCTTTCCTTTTCTTTCATTCCCATACTATATGTAATCATATAAATGAAAATTATCACTTGTGTCCTAGATTTCTTCCTCCTTTCTGTGTCTTGCTATGATATAATTCAGACGCAATGCCCATTCCAGTTCCTACCTTCTGACCCTGTTCTGTTTGATCTACTGTAATAGATTCCAAATGTGTCAACCTGTTCCAAGTACTTCCAACTCCAATTGTTGCCAGGATGCACATTTGCCTTTATTTTGCTCACATATTATTATCTCATTTCCTTGAATGAAACACTGCTATCCTATCTCAAAAGCCCATTCTCCATCTGTCAACAATATATTGTCAATGGATGTAGATATTATGCATCCTGTCTAAGTTTATCAGACTTCAGGCATTTCTACAACCTACCACAATACCTGCTATGTCCCATGCCTCCATCATACGGCTTCTCCTATTGGCTAATGGTGTTTTTCATCTCCAGTCTTGTAAAATCCTTCTGCAAAGGGAAACTCAGAAGCCCTTTCTCAATAAGTAATCTCCTAATCCTTTCTCATTATGTGCCACATAGTATAATAGCTCTATAATGCTGCCTAAATGCTCTAAATATCAGAATGTATCAGCTTACACACAAAAAAGAAGAATATGGATTAGATGGAATTGTAGAGGCTGGTTAGATGGATTTGATATGTCAAAGCCCTGATTCATTACCCCGTGAGGAAATTTCAATGACATAGTCTTAAAGATCAGAACAGAAAACAGGACGCTCATAGAGATGACAGTGTGAGGAGACTGGGGCAGTTGTTAAAAGCTTGGAAACTGTGGGATATGAGGGCATAGGTGAGCAGCAGTAACACTTGACGTCTGAAAGGACAAGTTGGTCATCTCCCCAGAGCCCACACAAGCTCAGGCCTTGAATCACTGTGGTGGGACTCATTTCAGACTTCTGCCTCAGAGAATTATAAAGTGTGTGTGTGTGTGTGTGTGTGTGTGTGTGTGTGTGTGTGTGTGTGTGTGAACATCTATGTTTTTGGTAATTGCTCATAGAAGAAGAGGGGGAGAGTTTCATGAAAAAATTAGCATATTTCTTTCTAAAGTGATGAAAGCATACACATAAATGACACATTGTGCCAGTCACCTTTATAGGTGCTTTTAATTGTCTCCTGTTTCCTTTGCCAATCCAATTAAGAAGATATCATTGTGTTCACTTTATAGATAAACCACATATGGCTTAGAAAACTTTCCTTGTTTGTCAACTACAGAATCATGTGGTAAAGCTAATAATGGGGCAGTGTAGGAAACACAACACAGAAGTTTCCTTAAGTTGTTCTGATTCCAAATGTGAGACTCTTCCATGCAAACCATGCTGCTTCCTAGACTTATTCCAGATTTTCTGCCTAGAGGTTCTTGCTTAGTCCTCAGAAACACTGAGCTGAGCTCAATCCAATGATCTGCTCATGATCACACAGCTGGTTGATCTGAATCCAAAGGCCAGGCTCTTTCCACTGTTCTCAGCTTCCAACATGCAGGACCAATATCTAAAGTCCCGACTTGATATCGACAGCACAGCTGCCCGATTTTGGCAGAACTACACAGAGAATTAGAAAGTGGTGGGTCTGCTTCATGTCATCTTGATTGAAAAGGGTTGAAAGAAATATTGTTGGCCCAAATTCCTCATTTCTCCATTATGAAGCAAAAGCTGGTCTTTAAATTATTCTGAAGGCAGGCAAACTAATTTAATGGTTGCTGCATTTTCCTTTTTATACTAGCTGTGAAAAATTCAGTTCAACTGTTAAAATATTTAAGGAGTGTGCAATCCCCTGCCCTTTCTTTGGATGTGTTTCAGATTCATCAGAGGGTCTTGTCTGTCTTTTCTTTGGTCATTGTTTTCTCCTCAATACTACCTGGTTTCTGAAGGGAAGGAGGTGCCCAACAATTAATTTAGAAATTTAATAATATAATAAAGATTTTAAAGGCAGAATAATTATCTACTATCCCACTCCTGCTTGTCAGTCTCTAACTTAATTCCATTTAGCTTTTTCAAAATACAACTCAGTTCATCATACACATTAAAATCTATTTAAACTGAAAACATCCAACTAGCAAAGAAAGTTAACAATAATAATAAGACAAGTTCTAACACTGAGGACATCCTAACTTTGAAAATCCTTATAATACCCATAATGAGCATGAGAGGATTGTAAAGATGAAATCTCACAGCTGTAAATAAGACAGAAGTATTTTTTTAATATGTCACCACTAAAAATTGGAATTGTAAATGTCAACAGCCATTTGCTTGGTCTGTTCCTTCCTAACATGACTTTAAATTAACTTGAATTATTTTGACCTAGCCATAATCCCTAGATTTCTAAATAAAATACAGAAATATGTAATCAAAATTGTTAAACAATGGCTTCATGAGACATCCAAACAAATGGGTCAATGAACAACATTCAAGTTCTAATTTTTCTATTATTAATTTGTGTGTATGTGTGGGAGAGAGAGAGACAGAGACAGAAAGAGGGGAGGGAGGGCAGAGAGTAGGCTAGAGGGACTCAGTTCTCATATGGTGTCATATGGTATTGAACTCAAGTTGTCGCGATTGGTGGCAGTCACCTTTAACTGTTGAAGTATCATACCAGCACAGCCTTAAAATTCCTTGAGGAATTCTGAGACACGTAGTGCTTTTGTGATACATTGGGTTGTATAGGAAGTCACAGTGCCTTGGCTAAGATCATTCTCCCCACTTTCCCACAAAGCAAAACACTGGCTTGTGCTTAGATGGTTCTAAATGTTCTGTAAAACATTAGTTTTAGGTAGTGCCCTCTGTTGACTCTTATCATGCTGGTAGGAGACTACTGGAGCATGTTCCTGGCTGGACTGCTCTGTAATGAATAACAGTAGAGAGATCAGAGCCAGATCAGAAGAGTTGAGACATAAACATTTAGGATCAAACACAAGAAGTCCTTGCATATATCTGGAACATAATTTCTACTATAGAATTTTTAAAAAAGTAGTATTCAGCTCCTGATCCACCTACTTTTTGGAATGCTACCCAAACACTGCAAAATAAAATACATTAGTCATTCACAACTTCTGATCTTTCCTAAAAACAAAGTTTCAGTATCAAATACCAAGGAGTAAGTGAAGGAAAAAGAGAAACTCATATTAGTATTGGTTGTAACATATTTGTAATTTTATTCATAAAACACAAGGGAAAATCACTAGGTACTGATATTTTGTGGGAAGTTTACAACTGTTGTGGAATCTATGCTGCCTTGTAGTGAGGCTGAGCTGTGTAAAGTTCTGTAGGGGCAGAATGTATTGGCCTTTTCCAGTCTTCTTAGGGAAGCAGTGATCATTCACCTTACTCTCTTTTTCTTTTTTTCTTCTCTTAAATGAAGAAACAAGATAATAAAGAAAATTGCTCATACATATCTCAACATTTAGTGAGCTACTAAACTGAAATTTTAACCAGACTAGCCAGTCTGGATTTTAAAGTTATGATTTTACCTTATTTTATTGTTTCTGAAGGGTTATAGCTGACATTAAAAAATAATAAAATGAAATAAAATCCACAAGGTGGAGATTAGTTGTCATGCTCTGGTGTTTATGAATCCTCACATAAACACCATCATAGATCTTTGCATTAATGTCTAATGTCTTTAAACTTACATCTGTATATATGTGTAGATGGTGAGGGAGAAAATAGAGCTTCAAATCCTGTGTAATATTCAGCCAGTTTCAATAATTTTTGGCTCATGGTTGCTTTTGTTTCAGCTATATCCACTTCCCACCTCTGTGTATGCTGAAGCAATTCCCAGGCATCTAACTACACTTGGGGATATTGCTTTCTGGCAGTTTCTTCTGAGATCTATGTGTGAGGTTTCTGGAAATGAGAATAAAGTTTGGTTGAATCTGGAGGCAAGGCAAGACATCTGAAGGACTGGGAAGGTTTGGTGACTAGAAGGTGCTTGGAAAAGTTGAAAATAGCTGTGGATGAATGAGTATGAGGGAGACTCTGTGGGAAGGGGCTATTTGAACTTTTGCATAAAGTCAGATTTTGTGATGAAGCACATTGCTACTGTGCTAATTAGAGGGTACCTCTTCTGTAAAGGCACTTGGCTTCAGAAGAGCTTTAAACTCCACCTCTCATAAACCCCTGCTGTCTGATGATGATGTTCCCACAACAGATCATTTTTAGTGCGTGTTGGGGAGTTTGGTTGTATATGAATGTATGTGTGTATATGTGCAACATCCCCAAGCAATAGCTTATAGTGTCCATCAGAAACAGACTGGGGAAGCCACGCTGAAGCAGTCATCAAGAATTCCCAGTGGAGAGTTTCCTTCCACTGTTAAGTTCCCAACTTCTTATTCCTACAGCAGGCATTTTTATACCATAGGATAAACAATAATAATATTATCTCCTGGAAATGGTTCCCAGATATTATCAGAGACAATGATTGTAACACCCATTGATGACTGATGCTTTTAGTACTCGAATTATTGGGCATTTACCAGGACTGAGCGTCATGGAGGACACTTGGTGACAAACATACTTGTGTCTGAAATGAAGTGGGGATCCCCAACCCCCCTTGCCAGAGAGCATCATGAGAAGATTAGGCAGAACTGAAGTTTTCAAGTCTCAAATGTAAGTGTCAGAACACACTGAGATGATCATTTCCCAGTGTTTGTGTTTTTGGTTAGTGCTGATTGCCCTGGCAGAAATAAAGGTGGGAATCCCAGTCCTTAAAACTTTGACACTCAGAACAAATGAACTTTAACATAAGGATAGTTTCACCTTTTACTATTTCTGATTCGGCCGTGGATGTCACATAGCAGAAAAAAAATGACCAAGGGAAGTGAACTGTTACCAAATATGTGTGTATATACCTAGATATGGTAGTCTCCTTGGATCTGGGCATCCCAAAATCTTTGCCCAAGCCTCTTTATTAAAATGGAGAGTTGAACATTAAGATGGGCACAAACATTTTCACAGCAGGTTATATACACAAAATTCTGGGAATAAATATTATTTTAAACTAAGTCTCAGACATTTAGACATTCTTGTATCGATCCCCTTAACAAACAAACATACAAAATGGACAAGAATAGAAACCTGATTTCCACTTAGTCTCACGTGAGAAGTGCTACTGGCCATCTTCCATGTGAAAGAGTCAGACAACGAAAACAACACAGGAGCTAATTAGGAAACACAATTTAAATCACAGACTCAAAGAGAAGTACGATGGAAGGACTGAGGCCATCCACCCCTGCCAATAAAGCTCAGTTCCTTCAAGAGTGACGTAATTCATATCTCTAGAGCACTTTCACAGATTTATGTCAAATCTACTCCAAGCTACACTCACTACGTTAAAGTTAATGCTGATTTTTAAAGGCCCAATCATAAAACTAAGGGAGAATAGTGAACAAAAAGAATGGCATTTCAGTTGAAGAAATTATTACTGGGGAAAAGTTTATTGAAGTACTGTGAATTAAATCTAAACTAAAAACTCCATTTTTCATATATATATATATATGTGTGTGTGTGTGTGTGTGTGTGTTTTATATATACATAATTGTATACATAAAACAATTAATGAACAAAGAGGCCTTGAATTTGAAAAACGGTCAAGGAGGATTTTATGGGAGCATTTCAAGGGCAGAAAAGGAAGTAGAAAATTATGTAATTATATTATAATTTCAAAAAATAAAAGAAATATTTAAAAAAACTGTTAAGACCAATCCACATGAGTCTATTAAGTGAGTAATTGGGATTTACTAAGATATAAATTGGGGAAATACACTCATGAATACAGAATCGAGTAAACAGCTGAAATCATCCTCTCTTCTGTCTGGGAGTAATCACGCCAAGAAGAAGAATGTGACCCCTCTCCCTTTCCTATTAAAAGGTCACATATGAAGGAAAGAAGCACAGCCTCTTATAGGCCATATAGCCCAAGGTCATGGGCAGAGCAAATGGCACTACATTTGCAAAATAATAAGGTTCTAAGCCTAATACAAACTATATACAATAAGAATAATTATCAAATATTGTCCATGAGAAATAAAGAGTGATAACATAAGTAAAAATGGAAATACAACCAACAAGAACAATGTGAAGTAAGAAACACACTAAATGCTCAGTTCACAGGTAAATGACAAATTACAGAGATTATACCAAAAGCTGTCCTGTCCTGAAGAATCTGAATTTAGTACCTAATTTACTCTTAGCTAGGATTTGAGAGCAATAGTAACTGCTACACTTGGCACCCAGGTGTGGTGGTGAGCGTTCCCACCTGAGACCTGAGAGAGCTTAAGAAGAAATTCTAGAACAGAGCCAAGAGTAGCCTCCTTGTTCCTGTCACTCACTGCCGACATGGTACAGAGATGTGTGCCCCTCATCCCCTACCCCGTGGGCTTCAGGGGTCACATGGCAGACTTCCTTGGTCTCTCACAGGGTGTGATACTGAGAGGCTTCTCCCAGCTGCTGCCTGCAGGCTTGGGAACACAGCTGTGGGCTTGAAAACAAATTCCACGCTATTAATACTGCTTCCCCGAATTGGGGAAGTAAGCATGACTCATTGGTACCTGTGCCATGTTGAAAAGCCGAAAGGAGTAGAGCAAGTAGCCAAGACTGCCCTTTCATTCTTGCCATGCAGTTTAACAGTTTTAAAACTCTCCTGGTCAGAAAATGATTACATATACACAATGAAGACAGATTCAGATGAAAAAAACAAAACAAAAAAACCTCTAAATGAGTTATAGTCTGTTTAAAAGGAAGATATGTAGGCTTGAGAGAGAAGAAAGGATATATATATATATAGTCATACAAATAAAAGTAAGTCTTAAAATAATAAAATAATATATAAAAGGAATAAGCCATGTAAAGATGGAAAACAAACAGAGTCTGGATTATGTATATTAGTGTGTTTTCATTGAAGTTTTTGACTGTTAATGTGCTAAATACAGAGAGACATTTGATTGTGGGAATTGCTAAGTTAAACATATATATATATATATATATATATATATATATATATATATATATATATATATATTTGGGTCTAAGAATATGTTGCTTTGGAAAAGAGGTTCTGCTTTTGTTTCCACAGAAGATGAAAAGCTATGGGTTCCTTTCAGGTTAATATGGATCCAATAAGGAAGATCTCCTGAGAGGTCTCCAAAGGGAACCATAGCCCAGAAAATCCAATATCTAAAACATCTTTAAGGCAATTGGCTGAGAAGATGCAGCCTCACAGACTACTACAGCCAAGATTTGACAATAATTCTAAAATTTCTCAGGATACCCATAAGATTGCTAGCACCCTCAATCAGCAGGAAGCAGAATGAAAAGGTGTGCCCAAATTCCCAAAATATTATTTATAAATGCTTGTTTTTGTTTAGAGGGTTGATTATAAATGGTTAATGGTCATAGTCAATCTCTTTCTAAAGAAAAAATGGGGATATGACATAGGAGTGATGTAAAAAGGGTAGATTATTGAATCTACTTTTCCAAAAAACAACTGTTAATCTCAAAATCCTTTCCATTGGTACAGATTTTGGTTTATTGATACAAATTTAAAGTTAATTCTGTTATACTGTATGTATATTTCTACTCTTGTTTAAGGTATTATGTTTATACAACTCATTTAAAATTGTAATGTATAATTAAGAAATGCACATTAATAATTAGTTATCTATGATAATCAAACTTATAGTCATATTAGTTACATTTCCTAGGTATACATAGCTATATTTCAATTAGTCAGATAATCTTCAAACACTTCAAAGACCTAAAACATATGAAATTTAAAATGTTTTAAGAAAATTAGACTTTTCTGGACAGCGAGACATGTCTGTTCCTAGCAGCACAAATTTACTTCAAAGGGGAAAATGGGCATCAAAGACACGCCATATGGAATCTGTCTTCTTCTTGACAAATCTAGCCATTTTGGCAAGAAACTTTTCTTGCTTGGACTGCTTGACAATATGTTGCATAAACTGGACATGAAGGACCCATAGGAATGCGGCCTGACCACTGAACTTTGCTGAAAACAAGGTGGGATGGTCCTTCAGGTTCCTGCTTTGGAGAAGAAACTGCCAGACATCCTGCAGGACATAGAGAAGAGTGACTGATGAATTTTGCCCATAGGCAAAACAGGCCTTCAAACTTCTTTACTGAAAAGTATACCAGAGACTCTAGGCCTTTAGACTGTAGATGGATGCCCCAACATTGCAGAGGAAATTTAGGTTGCTGTCCAGGCAGCTAGATGTCTCTGTCATTTCTAGAATTTTGGAACTTGCTTACAATACACTTCCTGTTTACTTAGGTAATATTATATCCTTCTGGGTTCTTTGATGGAGTTGAAGACTATACAGTTATAATTATAATTTTCTTTAGTCATGATAAAAGATAAATTAGATATAAAATTTAGACTTACAAAAATAGAATAGATGATAGAATATTTTCTCCAATTTTGCCAAATACAAATAGACTGAATATTGTAACTAATTCTTTCTCAATACCTGTTTTGTTATATGTAATTTTACTATGTTAAAATTAAAACATTCCTATTTTATTAGACAGAAAAGGGGAAGTGCTGTGAAATATCTTTCTGTATGTTGTGAATATGGGTCTCTCCCATTGGTCAATAAATGAAGTTGAATTGACCTATGGCAGGGCAGAATGGAGCCCAGTGGGAAACCCAAGAGAGACAGAGAAAAAATGGAGAGTCAAAGGAGACACTCCAAGCTGTCACCAGGAGAAGCAAAATGTGAGAGAACAGGTAATGCCACAAAACCACATGACGAAACGTAGATTAACAGAAATGGGTTGAGTTAAGTTGCAAGAGCTAGCTAGCAAGAAGCCTGAGCCATAGACCAAATAGTCTGCAATTAATATTAAGCCTCTAGTGATTATTTTATAAGCTGCTGTGGGCAAGGCAGGACACAGGAAAATTTCCATTTACAAAAAAAAAAAAAAATGTAGCTAGAGGGCTTCTCTCCAGGTTCCCCAAGCCCCACAGTCCCACAATCCACATATAAAATAATCACTCAGACGCTTATATCACTTATAAACTGTATGGCCGTGGCAGGCTTCTTGCTAACTGTTCTTTTATCTTAAATTAACCCATTTTTATAAATCTATACCTTGCCACGTGGCTGGTGGCTTCCCAGCGTCTTCACATGCTGCTTCTCCTGGCGGTGGCTGCAGTGTCTCTCCTCCTTCTTCCTGTTTCCCCAATTCTCCTCTCTCTTTGTCCCGCCTATACTTCCTGCCTGGTCACTGGCCATCAGAGTTTTATTTATATAGAGTGATATCCACAGCAAAAAAAAACCTCACAAGATACATAACTTAAAACTTTCCATCCTAGGAGAGTTAGGTCGAGAGTAATGTCATTCTTTATGACTCCTGGCTGAAGATACAAACAGATTTCTAACACCAGTGCTGATGGTAGCAGTGGTTCAAGAAAGTACAAAATTGAGAGGGTGTATACAACTTAGCATTACTGAAGATACATAGACTTCTTACCCTTACTGGAGATACACAGGCTTGATCTATTTTTAAAGTTATGACTCATTTATTTATTAATCATTGTATTTAATTTGCTTACATACTTAATATTAATAAATGTATATATTTTTATTCTAAAATTAAGATAATACCATAGCCACACAGTGTCTAGCTCCTATCATATACTGGGGAAATCTCTCATTTCTTGACTGAGCTCTATGAGAACATGGCATGGTGAGGACTGATCTTATACTCTTAGGTGAAGAATGTTCAATTTCGAGAATGTGCCCAAGGAATGCTTTACAAAGCAAACCCTATGTCAGTTTGGCTTTAACTATTATCTCAAGGGGTTTATTGCATGACCTTGGGGAATTTCCCTGAGATAAATGCTGTGTTTGTTGGGCTCCAGAGAACAGATTTTCACAAAAATGCCTGGAGAGATTCAAAGCTTACCTGAGCCAGTAGCACAAGTCATTAGTTGTAGCATCTGCAGTCAGCTTAGAGCAGTAATTGATGGAAGACCCAATAGTGCTTTTTACTTAATGAGTCTAGATCTAAATGTGTGTGTGTGTGTGTGTGTGTGTGTGTGTGTGTGTGTGTGTGTGTGCTGTATGTATGTATATTTTTATTTTCTGAAATTGGGTAATTAAGTGTTTCTGTATCATGATCCAAATTCATGTTATTTTCCTCAAATACATACACTGTTCAAAGTACAGCCAAACATATAAAGAAAGGACATTTTTTGCTCACTAGTAACATCATCACTCTATTTTGCTTGCACTGCAAGAGTTTATGTGGAAATGATTTGATATTTGCTCCATACAGGTTGGAAACACAAGGCAGCATGTTTTTTTGCTCTATATTTTTTTCATTAAATCTTCTGTGTTTCTTCCTCATATTACAAATCAGTATCAAGTAGCCCAAGATGAAGCTCCCAGGGGTACATGGGAAGGGGTTTGCAAGGTAGTCACCTCTAAATTTGTTCTTAATTTTGATTTTAAATGGCATGTTTCTGTGAACTTATCAAGAGTAAGGATCAGGAACAAATTTAATTCAATCTAAAGTCCCACTTTCTTTTCTATTCTATTGGGAAAATGTAAAGGTATTGAATAGTGGAATCTGTCTTCCTACTGGGAAGTCGTTTTGCTTTAAAAAAAAAAAAAGTCCTTGTTTTGAGACTTTCTCACTCATTTCTAATTCTAAAATTGTCTTCCTTCATTGTTTCTTATTTCTTTTAAACACATACATCTAAAAAAAAGGAGGAAGAGTAGGCAATCATCCTAAAACAGATGAATGAAAGCATAAAAGCAAGATGAAACAGAAGAAGCAATAAAATGTCCTCTCTTTGAACAGAGCAAAACTTCCCAGATCCTAAATTGGATATAATAAACCCTAACTTTAAGGGACAACTTCTCCCTTAAAGTCAAATTGGAGAATTGAATTAATGAAATGACCAGGCAGTCATGGTTACAGTACTGCCTACGGTCTGCACCCCAAGACTAATCCCCCAGTGAAATCACTGTTGGAGTCAGATATAAAATACAGTTGTTCAGGAACAATTCATTAATGTCACAGAAAAGTTCTAAAGCTGTTATAAAGCTTTATGTCAGGTATAAAAATGATCTTTTTGTGAGAATAAGAATTTCTAAAGTGAATTCTGAATTAAATCAAATTATAAATTAAATCTGTACATGTCATATTTATTTCATATATCAAATATGAATGTGGATGTGACTCAAGTATAATGTTTTATTATTTAAACAAGTAAGTTTCTTCCTTTTTGATCCCAACATGCCAAGATTAATTTGTTGCATAAGAGGCTGATGAATAACACTATGGGAAAGGCTGTCCCTGGGTTCCTGAGCAGGCACACAAACTCAACTATATAAAGCAGAGACACAGAGTTCCTGAACAACTAGAGCCCAGAGACAGAAATGGTGTTTTAAATATGTTGTAACCTCAGACAGCAATTAGTATCATCTAGGACAAAAAATAACAAAGTAAAAGATATTTTCTCAAAACTGGAGATTATAGCAGTGTTACAAGCAATGTTCATACCTATGTACATGTGACATACAGTGTGTGTGTGTGTGTGTGTGTGTGTGTGTGTGTGTGTGTGTGCTTGTGTGTGGTGTTCATACACCACATTTTCCTTTTATTTTATATGCAGTTTGACAGAATATGATGTCTAAAACAATGAATTTGGATTATCCAAGACTCCTTTACTTAACAGTGTGTGTGTGTGTGTGTGTGTGTGTGTGTGTGTGTGTGTGTGTGCCATTCTCTGCCCCGTGTGGATTGCATACAATTTCAAATCTGTAAACTAGATCGAGTGGTTAAGCATATGCATGAACTCAGACACAGTGAACATTTTACAAATTATAGTCCAGATTAGAGACTAGAAGTCTGTACTTCACTAATGCATCCCTCATGTTGTGCTGACTGTCTCAGATTAGAATTACCATGGCCTGCCTTGTGTGGAATCTGCTCCAAAGCTATTGAAGGGTCAGAGTGATTCATCCTTCTGCCCTTGATTCCATCTGTCCTTTGAGTCCTGAAACACCTGGGATAGAGAGCACAGGGCACTATGAGTGAAAAGGAGCCCAGGGCATTACATCACCTTCTTTCCTCACTGTTAGATGAAGCAAGACTCAACAACAATCCTCAACTCCTTGTCTAAAGTCCCAGTGCTTTCAGAGAGGTCTCAGGGAATTCATTAACAAAGGAGTGTTTCTTCTTATTTACTTTCAGCAAGAACAGGATAAAGTTACTCTCTAGATATTGGATTCATATTGCTTTTGCATAATTTCATATATGGATACCCAAACTATATACTGGATTCACAGAGACACTAAAACTTGAAAATAATAAACACAGGGCTCTTGTGGAAAACATATTCATATTATTTTTTAATATTTCTTGCACAATGAATTCAACACTGAGGCCCCTTCCCTTGTAAGATTCTTTGAGGCACTTTTCCTGTAGAAGAATTACATAAACACATACTGGCTAAGTGTTTATGATTTACCCAAGAAATATGCCCAAAATTAATTATGATAATCTCCCAGAAAGAAGTAAATATCTTCTCTCCATGACCTTTCCAAATAATTTTCTCCCAATTTATCTTCTTCTTTAGATTTTGGCAGGCCATTATTATTATTATTATTATTATTATTATTATTCAAATCACCTGTTTCATTGGTGTCCATTTATGGCATGAACATGAACTCTTAATAGCTGTCTTTAAATATAGCATTTCATTTGGTCCTGTCAGCTGTTGGCCTATGGCAGTCAGGATGTATCTGGGTTTGCCTAGCACTCTACAGTCCTGCCTCCCACCTTAGGGAGATCCAGAGCACCATGTGAACCTGGGGAAATGATTTAGCAAATCAACCAAATGTCTAAATTTTATGTTTATATCTTTTCCATGTTTGCTCTTAAATTTACAGGATAGCATGCTCAGTTTCTATAAGACAAGGAGTCAATTTTATTGTTTGTATAGCATAATGCAATTTGTATACTCAAACATGAATCATGATAGAGGCTTACTGATTATTCTGTAAGTATTGGATTATTGGAAATAATCTTGGATTATTTCTAAGTTGCTAGGGTTAGTTCAGTATTTGTGATAGTTTTCACACATTATCAATTAATAAAGAATCCCATAAATCAGACACAAGCTGTCTGCCAGGTAGGAACCGGAGACAGCATCAGTTTCCATGTCTGTAACTAGTGAAGTTAAAATTGAGATTTGGCTTGACTGAGACAAATATCTTTTGTTAAAATTTGCTTTGTGCAAATATCAACATCCTAATTATAAAATTAGAGTCTGTGCTTTTAGAAGATTTAGCTTATTATTAACCAATGTTAACAATATTATACTTTAAAAAATAACTTGTGACTGATGCTAGAAATGTTGTAGATGAGAAATGCACAGTTTTAAAAAAAATATAGTTCTGTCTTCAAACAACCTGTGTAATGTTGTGGATTTGAGCCATACCACTGTGTGTGTGTGTGTGTGTGTGTGTGTGTGTGTGTGTGTGTGTGTGTGTGTGTGCACGTGCACATTTGTATGTATGAATGTGTGTGATTGTATAAGTATGACAGAAAAAATAAAGTTGGTAAATGGGTCCTAGGGAATGGAGTAAATGATAAATTTTATCAGACAAACTATTCAGATAATTAGGGCATCAATGAGTAAAGAAAAACAACAAATGAAGTAATGGGTTATCTTTGGGAAGACATTTTTGAAAACAAGTATGTCACTCAAAAGGCACTGAGTAAGTGCTAGCTCTGGGTCTGCAGAACAGCACAAACAGGAAATAGATCAAATTTTGTTCCAGGAGGACAGTGAGAGATTGACTTCAAGGGTGTAGAAAGCCATTGAATTGGTTTTTGTTTGTACACCAAGAAAGCTGAGAAGCCACTCGAGGACTCATCAGAGGGAAACATATTTTGTCAATTTTAAAAGAAATTTCTGAGTGCAGTGCTGAAAATTCACTACAGGAAACAATTAAATAAGGGAAGAGAATCAGGATAGTATATTGATAATGCAAGACGCAAATGTTTCCTGACCAAGGCAAGAGGAGAAGTCATGGATGCATGAGTGAATGAATGAATGACCCAAACAGAGAAGATATTAAACAACCAAGGTGATAGATACCCTTGCTGGCACAGCCAAGGGAAGCTTAGAAATTAGCTTCAGAGTACGCACTTCTGAGAGAAGCTCCTCAGAAGCTCCTGCAGCTAGTTGCCCTCTTCTTGTCTTATTTTCTCCATGCTCACACACGCTCCACATTCCAAAGTTCTTGCATTTCTGGTACCATTTGACAGGAATCTTTCTGTCCAGACCATCAATTTATAATGGATTTCTCTTTCCTCCTAGTGTACCTTGTATTCACCTTTGCAGGGAGAGGGGCCGGATTAGTAGAACTGAGCCAGTTATGAAGCATCAGTCTACAACATTGAAATGCCAGTGAAATAGTAAAGGCGCTTTGCTTTTCCTACAATTTTCTCTAAATACATGGTTTTGAGGCAAGGTGATACAATGGTCGAAAACAGTGTGTTGCATAAAACAGTGTCTTTTCACACTATGCCTTGCCCTGGCGGAGCCATTTTACAAACACAATCCTGCTCTTTTTAAGTGTGAACGCAAGGGAAGAATGGATCTGAACCTTGGTGTGCATGTGAACACTACTACCTGTCCAGCACCAAACACGATGAAGACCGGCAAAAAGTTGACTCCCAGGTGTTAGAGGTAACATTCTATATGCGGCGTTTAGGTTGTGAACACACCAAGTACTCATGCTCACTAAAACTGTTAGAACAAAAAGGACTACGAACTTAATGCAACAGACTGAGGAAAAATGGAGCATCCTCACCCGAACCCCTTGCTGGAATGTCCTTATCTGCACCTTTAATCTGCACCCCTTTATTAGAATCCCTTCATCTGCACCCCATAAAGAGTAGAACACCTAACTCGGTGAAGGCAGTGACATGCATTGATCTGTCATCCTACTAAACTGTGTGTGCTGAGGAACTGGCAGAGAGAAAGCTCCTAACTGTCCCAGTGGTTTCAGCACAGCCTGGTCTCCACTCATGATGTGGCTTCATCCACTTGTAATTCATCATCTGCCTGCTTGTTTTTCCAAGACTCACTCTTGCACCTTGCCTCTGCAGCAGTTCAACTAAAGTGTAAGGTTCAGCTTCATCCTGCAGCCCAGCAGCTGGCTCCTGCAGCTCAGCTCTGTGCCTCCAGCAGCTCTTCAACTGGGATATCTAAGAGCTAAAGTGGCCTTTTAATACATCTCTAGCATCCCTTTGCCTGTTTTCCAAAAAGCCTCTTAGCACTGGTGAAACTCTACAGTGAACTTCTAAGCCAGTTTGTCATTCAGTATCTGGCTTTGAGACTGACGGATACACAGATAAAATGAATCACTATGTGGTATGTAATGCATGAGTTAAGAATTAATATTAGTAATTAATATAAAAATAAAAGAGCCTTCATTTGCCAATGGTCAGTTACTAAGGTTAATCAGGACAAATTGGAAAATTGCACCCAACAAAATCAATATAGCTTGTGATTTATTATTAATAAATTACTATTTTGTAGAGCACACAGCCATAATCTTCTCTGTTCCTAACAGCATATTTGTGACTCTTGAGATCCCAAGTCACTGCAACATATATTACCTCTTCCTGGCTTTCTTTAAAAGACTCAGTATCAGTGTAATTTTCTGACTTCTAGATGAATATGGTTTGAAAGTTGCTTCAAAATATTTATTGCTCTTGACTGATCCATCACTGGGGATGACGACTGAATAGTAAAGCACAGTAAAACCTCACCAGTCATCACAGAAGCATACCCATCATAAAAACGAAGCACTTGTAGAAGTTGTGTTAGGTTCAGTCTGCTTAAGAAGACCACACGCGTTCAGTGCAATTGCTCATTTGTGAAAAGCTACGTAGTAAGTTGAGTTTGGGGGCGAAATACATGAACTAAACCTTTTCAAAGTAGTTAGTGAATTTTAAAGTGTATAAACAGTACAAATAGCACAAGGATTTGGAGAATCACAAAGTTGGGGTTAGTAAATATAATTTTGGAAACACACTTGAACCTGAATAATTAACTTTGTGCCTTCTGGAATCAAGATCATGTATTGGTGGCTGGTATTTTTCCTGCTATCCTATGCTTCATGCACTTAAGTACACTGACTCTTACATAGGAAGATTGAAGTTTCAAAATACCTTTACTCTTTGAAATGTAAAAATGCAAAACCTTATACACAATAAAGTATACATTTATGTTTTAGCTTGTTTTCCTTTGCTGTGGTAAAATATAATGATAAAGTACCTTAGGAAATGTAATATTCTGACTCACAGTTCAAGAATATAGTCCATCACTTCAGGGAAACCAAGGCAGCAGGAGCTGAAAGTGGCTTGATAGATTACATCCATAGTTGGAAAGCAGAGAGTAATAAATGCATGCCTGTGCTGAGCTCTCCCTCTTCACTTTATATAGTTCAGGGTACTCTGCTCATGGAATGGTCCTTCACACAGTTAAGATAGGTTTTCCTTGGTTCAGACAGAGCTGACAGATTCAGGAAGGAGCTGGCTGTTTGAAACCTGGGGCTTATGCAGGGATGCTTGGCTCAATCTGGGAGGAGGGGACTGGACCTGCCTGGACTGAGTCTACCAGGTTGATCTCAGTCCTCCAGGGAGGCTTTGCCCTGGAGGAGGTGGGAATGCGGGTGGGTGGGAGAACAGGGGAACCCGTGGCCGATATGTAGAATTGAATGGTACTGTAAAATAAAATAAAAGGAAAAAATAGGTTTTCCTACATTAGTTAATGTAATCAAGATAGTCCCGCAACAGGCATGTGCAGAGGTCCATTTCCCTGGTGATTTTTGATTCTGCTAAAGGGACAGTTATGATACAATAACCAGTAACTCACTTATTTGATCTAGTAATGATGAAAATTCAGAATAAAATTTTTTAGCACAGGTGAGCATACATACACACTTAGGTTCACACATATGCCTGCACACATTCGTTAATCCTTGG